CCTCTTAGCTGTCACCCCCTCCAACCTCCCAACTCCACCCCGAGCCCTGGGCAACCATTGATACGCCTTCTGTCTGTCTATATTTGCCTGTTTTGGACATTTCTTATAAATGGAATCATGAAATATGTGGCCCTTTATGACTAGTTCTTTTCACATAGCAGAATATTTTCAAGGTTCATATATGTTGCACCATGTATCAGTAATTCATTTCTTTTATTACCAAATAATATTCCATTGTATGGATAGACTATATTTTATTTATTTATCCCTTCATCAATTGGTGAGCAGTTGGACTGTTTCCACTTTGTGGCTATTATGAACATTTGTGTACAAGTTTTTGTGTAGATGTATATTTTCATTTCTCTCTAGTCTATACCTAGGAATGGAATTGCAGGACCATATGGTAATTCTATGTTTAACTTTCTGAGAATCTGCCAGGCTGTTTTCCCCAGCAGCTGGACTGTTTTACATTCCTACTAGCAGGGTATGAGGGTTCCTGTGTTTCTGTAGCTTCACCAGCACTTGTTTTCTTTTCTTTCTTTTTTTTTCTTTTAAATTACATCCATCCTAATGAGGTGCTATCTCATTGTAGTTTGGACTTGCATTTCCCTAATGCCTACAGATGTTGAGTGTCTTTTCATGAGCTAATTGACCATTTGTTTGTCTTCTTGGGAGAAATGTCTGTTCAGGCAAGTCCTTTGTCCATTTTTTAGTTGGGTTGTTCATCTTTTTATGGTTGCACTGTAGGTGTTCTCTATGTGTTCTGGACACTAGACCCTTATCAAGTACAAAATCTGAAAATATTTTCTACTATTGTGTGGGTTGTCTTCTCACTTGACAGTGTCCTTTGATACACATATTTTCAAATTTTGATTAAGTACAGTTTTTCTATTTTTTTCTTTTGTTCCTCATGCTTTTGGTGTCACATGTGCTTTTCGGGACCAGTTGCCAACAAGGTCATGAGTGTCTGTCCCTGTTTTCTTCTGAGATTTGTAGTGTTAGGTCTTACTACTTAGGTCTCTGATCACCTTGAGTTAATTGTTGTATATGATGTAAGGAAGGGATCCAGCTTCATTCTTTTGCATGTGAATTTCCATTTGTCCCAGCACCACTGTTGAAAAACTGTTCTTTCATTATTGAATTATTTTTATACCCTTGTCAAAAATCAGTTGACCACATACACAAGGGTTTATTTCTGGACTCTTCTGTTCTATTGGTCTATATTGTCTATCCTTATGCCAGTACCACACTGTTTTGATCACTGTAGCCTCATATTAAGTTTGAATCCTCCCATTTTGTTCTTTTTCGATATTGTTATAGCTACTCTGGGCCCCTTGCAATTCTGTATGAGTTTCTATTTCTTCAAAAAAAAAAAGCCATTGGAATTTTGCTAGGGATTGCATTGAACTCTTCATTATCTTTTTTTTTTACCCTTTTTTTTTAAAATTGAAGTATAGTCAGCTTACAGTGTTGTGTCAATTTCTGATTACAGCATAATATTTCAATCATACATATACATATGTATTTGTTTTCATATTCTTTTTCATTATAGGTTACTACAAGATGAATCTCTTCATTATCTTTTTAAAGGAGTTTAAAAAAGAAGTCGTCTTTTATAATTTACCCACATACTTACTATTTCGGGTGCTTTTCACTCCTTGTAAATCTGGATTTCCATCTGGTATTGTTTTTCTTCTCCTGAAGGATTTTATGTAACATTTTGTAATGCAGATCTGCTGGTGATAAATTCTTGCAGCTTTTGTGTGTCTGAAGTCTTTATTTCACCTCTATTTGTGAACAGTTTTCACTGGGTATAGCACTCCAGTTAATATGTTTTTTTGTTTTGTTTTTTTCAAGATGTTACTCCACTGTCTCCAGGCTTGTCAGAGAAATCCCCTGTCATCCTTATGTTTGCTTCTCTATAAGTAGTGTGTCCTTTATCCTCTGGCTGATTTTAGCATTTTTTTTCCTATATCACTGGTTTTAAACAATTTTGTGATGTTTTAGTTGAGGGTTTTTTTCGTATTTCTTGTGCTTGTGGGGGTTGATAAGCTGCTAAGATTTGTGGATTTATAGTTTCCATCAAATTTCGAAATTTTCCAGCCATTATTTCTTGACGGTTTTTTGCCCTCACCACTTCCTTCTCTAGCTGTGTGTTAGGCTCCTTGAAGTTGTCCCACGTCTTGCTCACATCGTGTTTGGATTTTTAGTCTTTTTTCCTTTATGTGTTCGTTTTGGGTAGTCTTATTGTTGTTTCTTCAAGTTTCCTCATCTTCTGTGTTGTGCAATTTGCATTCATTAATCCCATCCAGTGCCCCTTTCATCTCACAACTTGTAATTCCATCTTCCCTGTCTTCCTGGATCCTGCTCGGCATGTTCAGTGTTCTGTTCAGTGTTCGCTTGGCTTCCTGAGCCTGTGGAAATCAATCCTGCCCCATCTCCCGCCTCTGACCTCCCCTGGTCCTCGTGGACCGGCTCCCCTGCCCCTTTGCCGGCCATCACCAGTGATGGGATGCCCGGTTCTAGGTTTCACTGTGTTGGGAGACAATGCTGTTATTCCTGTTCTTTATTGTGCTTTGTTCTGGGATATAGTTTGATCCGTTCAGGTTTTGCCCTTAAGCTTTGTTGGTGAAGACCGGGGAGCATTTACCCAGCTCCACTTTGTCCAGACCTGCAGGTTCTCCCCCTGCTGCCTGTGGGTTAGGGCTCCCCTCTGGCCAGCGGGAGCAGGTGCTGCTTACAGCCTGTACACGCAGTGGGACTGTTTCCTCTGTCCCTCAGGGTGGCCCTTTCCCGGCTTTGGCGGCTTCCTCACAGACCTGCACTGACTGTCCCCCGCAAGGACTGAGGGCCCCTCTGTGCCTTCACTGCCTTGTCCACTGCCTTCCAGCACTGCCTTCTTCTCTCAGGCTTGCCAGGCCTTAGTTTCTCTTTCTGCACCATGGCTGAAGTTCCTTCTGGGAAGAGTGGGGGTGGGGGCACATTTTGGAGCCTACCTGGGGCCTGCCTCTCACGGTCTGGTGTCCAGTGAATTGGAAACTATTGCTCAGTCACATAAACTTCGCAATTATTTTTAGTTTTTCCCCAGGGGAGAGAGATCCAGTCCCTGTGACTGTCCCATCCTGAGGGGATGTATAAGTCTCCATGTTCATGGTCTTTGAAAAGCTGTCCGGTGCTCACAGGCCCCAGGCTGAGAGCTTGGCGGAGGCTAAGACTCAAGCCAAGTCCTGCAGGCCTGGACTCGTGTGTGTGTGTGTGTGTGTGTGTGTGTGCGCGTGCGTGTGTGTGTATGCGTGCGTGCGTGTGTGTATGTGAGGGAGAGAGAGAGAGAACACATGTGAGCAAGTGAGCGTTTAGCCACCCCACCTCAGGAGAGCCTCTGATGATGACTCACTGCCTCGTGAGATGTGTGTGCTCCGGCTAAAGGTTCATGAGAGTGTTCTGCTCTGTTAGGCTTGTCCGGAGGTTTAGAGAAACACACATGAGCTGGCCGATGCTTTCCAGTGCACCTGCCCCATGGGTTGGGTCCTTCCTGCACTTCTGGCAGGTTCTAGCATGCCCAGGGCTGGTGTGTGGCTGGGGGTCGGGGCTGCCACCCGGGATGGGACAGGTCCTCTGTAGATATGGATTTGTGCTTTGGTCTTTTCCTGGCACCAGGATGGAAGAGGAGGACAGCATCAGAAATCAGAGTGAAGGTGACTTGATTCAAAAAGAAACCAGTGTCTTCACAGAGCAGGTTGTCAGTGGCTGGGGGCAGATGAACAAGAGACGGCCTTGGGAGGGAGAGCAATTACCTTGACCAGACTGGCTACTTTATTTAGCCAGTCCCCAGTGACAGAGAAACAAGTCACTTCCTACATTTTGAGTTTTTTATGTCACAAACAGTCCTGCTCAATAACATGCTTATACATAGCTTTGCATGTTTTCCCAGTTGTTTTCTTGGACTGAATTCCTAGACTTCATATTAAATAGTAAATAAATGGAAATGTTCCTATTTCTCTTAAGAAGTAAAGACATCAGTTTCTTTGCTCTTTAGTAGTCTTTTATTTCATTTTCCTCTTGTGAATGGGGAGCACTTTAAAAAGACAAGGTCTCCCCCCAGAGGTCTGCACGGGGTGGCCAGTGAGAAGGGGCCCCTGGGCAGGACACACAGTACAGGCTCACGTGGGTCACACCCTGGCTACTGCAGTGGTGCGGGATGGAGGGTAAGAGATGCAAAGGCGCTCACTTAGGGGGTGTTGAACACGACATGATGGCAGGTCCGAGCCATCCGGGACCTGAGGCATGGACTTGAGCAGACCAGCACTGCTTCTGGTTGCACTTGACCATGGGGGCTCTTCCCTGAACCTCAGCCACACACTCTTTTGCCTCTTACAGCTCAAAGCCCTTGCTAGATCTGGGGGTGATGAGTCGGCTTCCCTCTGGTGTTTCCAGCTCTGTGCCCAGGTGGGCAGGGTCTCCAGACTAGGACGCATGTAGGGGCCTGTCGCTGGCTCTGAGCGTTGCAGTTCATGCTCTTGTCCCCTCGCTTGGGCCAGGCTTATGCTCCCACCTTCCCAGGCCTCCCTACCGATAGGTATCTCCCAGGACGAATGAATAGAGGGGTCAGGATCAGACAGGGGAAGGGTGCTTCCCTGAGCCTCAGTTTCCATATCTAGAGGGGACCTCAGACCTACCCTGGTCCTGGGGGCTTCCCTGTCCAGCCCCAGGACAGGGTCCTGTCTGCCGATGGGTGCCATATTGGCAGAGTTGGTGGCTGGGGCCTCCTACCCCTGCCCCATCGCAGTTCCTCCAGCCAGTCCCTCCATCCCATCCCACCCCGGCCCCTCGTTAGCCCCACCACGGCCCCTCATTAGCCCCACCCCAAGCTCACAACCCTCATGTAGCCCTTAGTGTCTGGCTTCCACTGTGTCCACTCACTCCCCTCTGCTCCCCTCCCCCGATGTCTGGCCACAGGGTTGCCTCCAGGCTCTTTCTCAAGACCATCTCGTCTCCTGCAGGCATTTGGACAGGCCCACACAAACCATAAGAAGGTGGCTGCGGACGGTGAGAGCCGGGAGGAGAGTCTGATCCAGGAGTCAGCTTCCAAGGAGCAGTACTATGTGCGCAAGGTGCTGGAGCTGCAGACAGAGCTGAAGCAGCTGCGCAACGTGCTTGCTAACACGCAGTCAGAGAACGAGCGTCTGGCCTCAGTGGCCCAGGAGCTGAAGGAGGTAAGCAGCGGAACTGGGGTGGGCTGCTCAGCTGTGGGTGGGAAAAGAAACCCCAGTGCTCCCTGGGGACAGGGCCACCCACCAGCTGTTTCTCCCGCAGCCCAGCTTCATGTGGCCCCTGATGGTCCCTGTGGTCCATGGTGGTCCAGGAAGGGCTCGGGGTGGCAGGGTCCCAGCTCTGCACTTGGGCTGTGAATCCTGGGTTCCTCCTGTGAACAGTGGGATTGCAGCACCCACCTGCCAGCTTGTGACAGTAAAGTCAGAAGAGGCCACTGTAGACAGTGCCTAGGATCAGCTTGGTCCTGGCCAAGAGAGGCCTGGGCAAGTGGAGAGGACAGGGAAGACAGCCGGCGCCCTCTGAGAGAGGTGAGGGGGAGGGCCACCATCCCCAAGGTGGGGTGGGAAAGCAGCAGGAAGCAGGCCTAGCTAGGAGTCTACATGAGCTGCCGTCCTGGCTGTGGCCTTGGGGTCCCGGTCCTCAGAATTCTCTTCAGGAATGATGCGAGGCCTTGTTCTGGCTTTGGGAAGACCAACTCTCTGGGGTGGGGGTGGGGAGGGGCAGGTGGCAGTGACAGGTGACCAGAAGGGCAGATGGTTCTGCGCAGTGGTCAGCTCTGAGGTCAGTACCTCAGACATGAGGGTGTATGGTAGGTAGGGTCCCACAGGGCTGGGAGGGGACACTGGCAAGGTTTGGGGCAGAGCCCAGGGGCTGGCAGCCACCACAGGGAGCAGTCCCCCACCCTGGTTTGGGATCGGAGGCCGCCAAGGCTTGTGGACCTGGGAAGGAGTTGGCTGGGGTCCAGGGGGAGGGCACGGTCTTGTGTCCTCACCCGGGAGCACTCTGGTCAGGAGCGAGAGAACGGGCCGCCCGGGGGGAAGACCAGTCTCACTGCCAGCTGAGCGCCCTTTGCCAGGAGAGCCAGTGCAAGCGCTCTGCCCAGCCCAGGCTCATTCCGCCCCTTCCCTCTTCCGGAAGAGGGCTGTCAGGAGAGCGGCGGGGGACTTGCTGACTCCTGGCTTTGACATCAGGAAATGAGCTCAGCCAGTCGCACGCTGCTGTTAAGGAACAGATCTGGTGGGGCCGGGATTCCTGCTGTTCTGTTGGCGCTCCGGGAGGAAGCCTCCCGCTCCCCACCCCCACACGTCCTCAGAGCATCTTTCTCCCAAGGCCCCGCCTGTGCACCCCTGGTCACTGCAGGGCAGGCTGTATGGAACCACGCCAGGCTCTTGGTTGGACGAGGCTCTGCACCACCACCTGCTCGGACTAGAGCCCTGGTCACTGTCCCCACCATCGCTTGTTCTGTTTGTGCTCTATTCCCGTCCCACTCAAGTCACTCTTCTGCTGGTCCTGGCCCTGCCACTTCTGCTCGGGCTGCTGTGCTGAGCTCCTCCGTGGCTGTCCCCCATCCTACAGGAGGCTCATGCCCAAGGCTTAGGCCTGGCTAAGGAGCCTGGATCATGTGGCCACAGCACTTGCTGTGTAAGCACCAGCCTGCGCCTGCCTTGGTGTGACCCAGCTGAGCAGGCCTTGGTCGCCCAGGAGATGCCCCTTCCACAGGAGGGTGTCTTCCCCCCAGCGCCTGGTCCTGCTGTCGTCCGGGTTCAGTGACTGATGGGCCGGCTGTGCTGTGCCCTCTGACCCCTACCCTATCATTCCACCCTGTGATGACTGGCGTAGGGAGTCATCCCTGCCCCGTGCCCAACCCTCCAAGAGGAACGCATGGCCTCTGTCATGTAACAGGTGCAACAAACGTGCTCAGCATGCGGGACAGCTCCAGCTACCCCACAACTTGTCCTCTCGATGACCCTATGGGCATCCAGTTACTTTCCTCATCTCACAGATGGGGAAACAAAGATGCAGAACATTTGGCTGCCTGCTTGAGGTCACTGGGTCCTGACCTCTGCACTGCATGTGGACAGGCCCAGCCAGCTTCCATCCTGGGACATGGCCTTGGGCCCTATTTTTCAGAAATAGAAGCAGAGACCCAAGGAGCTGGCTGGAGGCAGAGTCAGGCCCCGAGCACGCGCCACCGCTTTCCACGGGTTTGCCTTGGGAAGGTGGGGCGAGGGCTGCTTTGAGAAGCAGGCCTGTGACTTGGGGAGGGGTCATCATCTGCCCAGTGGGGCCCCCCTAGGTAGTCTTCCTGTCCCAGTGGCCCCTCGCCTTGTTGGCCTAGTGGATGTGCATGTCAGGCCCTACCTACACAGGCCCAGGAGTGAGTGACCAAGATGCCCCTGCGGAAGTCATGTCTGATGTCACCTGCCCTATCCTGGCTAGGAGCCAAGAAAGGGCTTATCTCCTGCTGTGGTGGCATCTGAGCCACCAGGAGTTCTGGAAGAAAGCCAGGCGTTGGGTCAGGAGCAGCAGCCACAGGCACCAGGTGGGCTGTGCCGTGTGTAGTGGACAGGCCGAGACAAGAGGACACCTGGCTCTAGAGCCAGGGGCCAGACTGGGGGTGGGAGGGACTGTCACATGCGCAGACGGGCGAGGCCTCCTGTGTCCCCTGTCACCGTGCACCATCAGGGCTGTTCTTGGCAGGCTCACCTGGGAGAAGGTGCGTACCTGGGGGAAATGAAGCCCCACGGGGCCTGGGGAGCCTGTCTAAGCCCTCCGCAGTTGGATGTGTACCAAGCCCCTCCCTGGTGGTGAAGGGTGGAGGCTCAGCTGCTGCGGGAACCGGAGTTCAGGCATCTGGGTCCTGCAGCAGCAGCAGCGCCCTCACCTGCCGGGTCAGCTTGTGACCTGAGTGTGCCTTGCCTCGCTGGTCACAGGCCCTTCCCACAGACCTGCAAGGGCCCATGTGCCCTTTGTCAGCCCCAGAGCTTATAGCGGGAGGCTGTGTTCCGGTCCTGAGTTGTGAAGGTCGAGTCCGCCCAGGCCATGGAGGAAGCTGGCCTGAGTTTCTCTTACCACAGGACCTTCTAGGTTTCTTAGTCCTGACGTGCAAACCTGTGGGGAGCTGGTGGATTTTAGACCTTCCCCCTTGGCTTCCACCACCTCAGGTGTTCATGTCAGATCAGGCTGCACCTATTTGAGTACCTCCTGAGTGCCCCGCAGTGTGACTTAGCAAGGAAGGGAGGAGGAGTGACAGGGCATTTCTGGCAGAAGGACGAGCACGGACCCCCGAGTTCATGGAACACGAGAAGGCTCTGTGCAGGGCAGCTGGCGATCGTGGGGTGGGCCGGCGAGGGGCTCACGGCCACAGCACGCCAAGAGCAGCGGGAGCCAGCGAGAGGCTGCAGCAGCATTTAAGCAGGGGAGAGACGAGACAAGAGAGCAAAGCTAATTGTTGTGGGAGCACCTCCCAGCTGACTGGAGGCAAGAAGGCTAGTCAGATAGACGAGCCAGCTGTGGCCAGCCCGCGTGGCCCGCCGCAGGGCGGAATGGTGCACTAGATGCGTGCGCAAAGGCTGCAGCTTCCCGCCAGGTAACATTGCTGCCGCCCGCAGAGCAGAGACAAGGCTCTGAGAGGTGAACCAAGTTATGGCAACCATTCCAGGGCATCTGCCACCCCAAGTACTCCGCACAGCCCCTACCCCTGCCTGAAGCAGTCTGAGTCATCTTCACAACTGGTACTGAGGCTCCAGGTGTGGGTCCATCTGGGTGACAGCACATTTGCAATAAAGACAGTTGGTGGCTCCCCAAGAGCACACGTGCCAAGCGGGCAGGGCCACCCTACAAGGGCTGGAGTCACCCAGGCTGTCTTGAGACACATCCGCTGCGCCTTGACAGCTTTTAGGTGGGGGCAACCACAGCACCCTTCCCATAAGAGGCTGGCCTGGTGTTAACAGCGCCGGGAGTTCCTTTATCCTCTCCCTTCCCCTGGTATGATTGCCCACACTCCCATGCACCTCTTTCCGGGTGCTCTGGGCGCTCCCCTTATCTGACCCCAGCTTTCAGCAGGGCAGGACCAAATCTGTGTTCATTTCCTGTGGCTGCTGTAACAGACTACCACGGACTGGGGCCTCAGACAACGGAAATTCATTCTCTCACAGTTTAGGAGCTCAGTTTAAGGTGTCAGCAGGGATGGTGTCTTCTGGAGGCTCTCTGGGAGAGTCCGTCCTGTGCCTCTGGCAGTCCTTGTGTTCCAGTCTTTGCCTCTGTCCTCCCGTGGCCTTCTCCCTGGGTGTCTGTATCTCCAACTCTCCCTCTTACAATGGCACCAGCCCTCGGATTAGGGTCCACTCTAGTTCCTTGTTACCTCGTCTTAACTTGGTTCTATCTGCAAAGGCCCTGTTTCCAAGTAAGGTCCCATTCACAGGTTCCAGGGCTTAGCACGTCAGCGTATCTTTTGGGGGAACACAGTTAAAACCCATAACATCCGACCCTCTGGCCCTCAAAATTCATGTAAGTCCCAGATCACATCTAAATCCTCTAAATCAGGAAAGGCTGAGACTTCAGGGATGGTCCATCCTGAGGTGGAATTCCTCCCTGCGCAGATTATCTGCATCCAGAATACAGTGTGAGGCCAGGGGAGAAACATTCTCATTCCAAAAGGGAGAAAATGGAAGGAATAAAGAGGCCACAGGTCCCAGCAAGTATAATGCCCAGCAGAGAAAACTCCGCTCGGATTTCAAGGCCTGAGAACAGTCTGCAGCGGCCCCCTGCTCTGCCTTCTGGAACCTAGGAAGCAGAGGGCCTGCTGGCCTCCCGGCCAGCTGATGAACTGGACGTGAGCCATACCCTTGGTGCTGTCTCCAGAGAAACGCTTTCTCATCTTCTGCAGTAAGGACGAGCTGAGCATCTTCCAGGTCCTCAAGTTCTGATTCTTTTTTGCTTACCTGTTCTCTCCTCAATTTCTCTCTCTCCTCTCATGTTTTACTATAAGCAACCATGAGAAACCAGGCTGCACCTTCAACACTCTGCTTAAAAATCTCCTCAGCAAATCATCCAAGTTCCTTGCTTCCTGGTTCTGCTTTCCACCCAGCACCAGAGCACGTTCAGCCGGGTTCTCCGCCACTGTCCATCCAGGACAGTCTTCCTCCTCTCCTCACTGCTT